GTGTCCGAGAAGCAAGCGGAGGAGAGCCACCGGCAGGACAGCGCCAACCTGCTCATCTTCATCCTGCTGCTCACCCTCACCATTCTCACCATCTGGCTCTTCAAGCACCGCCGAGCCCGCTTCCTGCACGAAACCGGCCTGGCTATGATTTATGGCAAGTGCCTGAACCCCTGTCCGCCCCCCTGGCCCTGCCCCTTTCTCTGCCCGCCGGCTGCTTCGCCGCCTCCCCTGGCCCTGCTGTGCCTACCTTGGGCTCCCCTTATAATTCCTTCCATTTTCTGCCTCGCGGTCCTCCACCCCGTTTCTCAGCCTCCCTCTCTTTTTTCTGCTCTGCCCCCCGTTTCTCTATCTCACCCCCTATTTTCTTCAGCCTCACCCAGCTTTTTCTCTGCCTCTACACACCTTTTTCTCCTCCAACCCCACCCCCTTTTTCCTCCGCACCCTCCCCCCTTCCTTTCTCTGCCTTCCGAGCTCGGGACCAGGCCGAGGATGGGAAGGGAGTGGGTGCGGTGTCTGAGATTAGGCTGGGTCTGGAAGAGGGGAAGACACCATTGAGATTCATTTTTCTGGGGTGTCACTTTGCTTAAGGTTCAATGAAGGTGCAGTAGTACGTCTATTGCCTCCGAATCAGGCGTTTTTGTGGAGCCCGAGTCGACCTTTACTTATCACCCAGCTCTTGCTACGCCCTGTCCTTTCGAGGTTGAAAATGAAAACCTTACTCCAGTGGAGCCCACGTAAAAACGTGAACATGAAATCGGCTGCAGAAGGCTTAGGGCATTTGTAATGACGTCCTGATTTATTGTACTATTTCCAGTAATAACCGGTATGGAGACGGACGGTGACCCTTGCAGCTCAGGCTACAGAAGTGCGGCCGAGGAAGAGTTAAGGGTCTTCCAGCAGTGTGGTGTGGTGTACTGTACTATAGGATGCTCAGGACAGTTCAGCCAACAGTAATTACAAACACCGCGCATTTGCAGTAGGGGTGACTTGCTGTCTGCATGAGGTTATGGACCCACTGTTGAGTAAATGGCTTGGGTTCTTGTATCTCAGTATGTTTTCTTTATGAGGTTTTTTATTTGTTTATTTAGTTTATTTATTCTTCTCTCTCTCTCTCTCTCTCTCTTTTTTTTTTTTTTTAGTGAGGAGGTGAGAAAGGTAAATCAAATCCTGGGCTCAGAAGCATTTTGAATAGTCCTAGGGCCTCACGAGGGGGAGAAAAAACCAATAGATATTGCTGACTATCTTAATCTGACTGTGAGGGTAGGACTGAAGAGATGAAGGCGGCCAAGCAGCCCTTTCCGTGCAGTGCATATGTGAAGATTATCTTTGGCTGGCAGAGCCTTAAACTGATGAACTGGTTGAGGTTTGTCTCAGAATTGCAGAGAGGTAGAGGAAGCCCCAAAACATATTTTTCTCCACAAGCCCCACCCCCTCACCCCTTTCCAGTAAATCCAGAATTCTGGAATGTACATCTCAAGGGTAGCAAGGAAAAGTAGTAGTGCACCTTGGGAAAATGCATGGATTCAGGCTTAGTTTTCATTTGTAAAGTAGTCCAGTTCTAAGCCTGTGTGCGAAATAGCTCTGCTCGCTAGGACTCCTAAGTGTTTAGGCATATTAGGTGGTCTTTATGTTTTATATATATTTTTCATTTCTTTTGCAGTGCCCCTTAAGCCTTAGTCATATAAGCCACACATGTCTATGTAATTTCTCTGTTTAACTGTATGTAATTTAGTTAGTATCCTCAGCAGTCACTGATCAGCCTACTACATATTATGCATAGCACCTATACAGAGGTACAAGACCCTTGCCTTCAAGGAACTTACAGACAGGTCACATAAAGAAAATGGTGGCATTTTTAATTTGGCTAAATGCCAAATGAATATTATAGTGTTAAAATAAGGAACCAATCACAGAAACCTCTTTCCTGTGGAGAGAGCGAGCATGATGTAGATAGTTAAAGGTACGAGGCTTTATCCCAGAGGTCAGCTATTTTTCTTTTTTTTTTCTGTAAAGGGCCAGCTATACAGATTGTTGACTTTGCAAATCACATACATCTCCATGTCTCTTTTACCTTCGTTTCTTTTTTCATAGACCTTTAAACATGTAAAAATCATTCTTAGCTCTTGGGCCACATAAAGGCAGACTTCAGACTGTAGCTTGCAAACCCCTGCTTTAAAGTCAGCCCAGAGTTCCTGTCCACCATGCCAGTAGCTGTGTGTGATCTTAAGCAAGGCCCTTTCTGTTTAGCTATATCTATATATTGGGGATAGCGATAGGATTCTTGTGAGAAAGGAAGGTGTTTAGTCTGGCACCTGACCTCTAAATCTGCTCAATACATGATAGCTATGCTTTTATTATTATTATTATTATTGCTAATATGATTGCATTTTCACAGGTTAGGCTTAGAACAGTTCTTTTAATTGCTGAGTCTCATAAGTTAAGAGGTAAACATAATATTTAAAAAAATACAAATACAGACTTCGAATCACTCTGAAAATATTTGCTCTTTGATAGCTGATATCATTAACCTCTTCTAACTCTTGGGCTGAAGTAGAAAAGAAGGATTACTGATTGCTTTTTCTAAAGATTCTAAGTTAATAAAAGGTGACAGAGGACCTTAGTATTAGTATTTTCTGAAGGAAAAAATAGAAAAATAAGGATATCTCTTGTGGAATATGAAGTACAAGAGTATGAATGTAGGAGTCAAATCTGGGGTTGACTTGGCATTTTTCAGCCTATCTCATTTTCTCAGTATGGACAGTGGGGGGCTGTGGATCAAACAGATTCCTAACAAACTCCCAAGTCCAGTTTGAAAATAGATGAGATTGGGTCAGTGGATTTTTGATACCATGGGAATTGAGGTTTTCTAATCCAAACAACTGTCTGTCATTTACCTTTTCTTAGAACTCTTGCACAATCACAGCTATTCCATTACTATATTATTTTAAGACCTTTCTTATTCAGCTTGACGTCCAGGTCAAATGGGAGTGCAGAGATCTTAAGATTCAGCCCACTGGTGATCTTATTCCTGTGATGTCCGCTTAGTTACCTAAATCCTGAAAAACTGTTATTTAAAATAAACCTTTTCTTTATCTTTTTTGAGAAGCCAGGGCAAAAAAGAAGTTTAATTTGCCAATGTGGTCAGTTTCTAGACTGTAATATAGACTAATTGTTCCAGTTGAAAACATTCAATCTCAAAGCACCCACACATTTTGTTCATTAGGCTAGCTTTCTTAAGAAGCTTAAAAGTGAGTCACTGTTAGTAAAAATTGCCCAGGTAGTTAATTAAGTCTGAAAAGTGATCACTCACTGCAGAATGTTTACAGATGGTAATAAAAGAAAAAAAACACACACACACACAAAAAAAACAAAAGTAGGAGGGCAAGCAGGTGACACCGTGGTTAAGGTGCTGGATTCGTACATGGCTGACTATGGTTCAAGTTCCAGACCCGGTGGCCTAAAAGTCATGCCGGATGTGTGTGTGTGTGTGTGCGTGTGTGTGTGTGTGCACTCACCCAAAATACCAAGAAGAGGATTGAGGAGAAGGAATTGTGGCATGTCCATCCTCCTGCAGGGTGATTTCATACTCTACCCCCTCCCCCCCATGGCAAGTGCACTCACCCTATGGTAAAAATCTTAAAAAAAAAAAACAAAAGGCAGAAGAAATAGTTGTTTTGTCATAAACTTAAGGTCCCCAGAGTCCTAGGCTTAATTAATATGATCCACAAACAAACATTTATAAAATAATCTATGATGTATGGGCTATGATAGGAAATGCAGAAATGAGCCTTAGTCCTTGGCCAAAAGCACTTACAATCTACTGATTTAATAGATAATGTTTATTCAGCATTGCAGTGTGTTACATGCTGTACTAGGAGCTTTACGAGTATTATTTCATTTAAAACTCATTACAACCTAGGGCCAGGAGGTCATATGGTGGTTAAGGTGCTAGATTCCCACGTGACTGACAGTGGTTTGAGCCCTGGAGCTGGTGGTTTGAAAATCATGCTGGGCACATGTGTGTGCATAGCCAAAATCCCAAGGACAATGGAGGAGAACTGATTGTCCTGTGGCCATCCCCTCTGGGAGGTGATTTCTCACTTTTCCTCTTATTCCCCCAGGGAGTGATTTCTCACTTTCCCTCTCTGTTTCTCTTTGAGTGCACAAGCCCTGTGGCAAAAATCTAAATCAAAGAAAACTAGTAACAGCCCTTTAAGATGGGCACTATTATCATTCTCATTGTACAGATGAGGAAATTTGAGCCCAGAGAGGTTAAATGACCTGCCTGAAGTGACAAGTTATGTGACCCAGTCATTCTGGCTCAGAAGCCCCATACTCTTAGCCCCTAAACCATATTGCCTCATGCTGAAGAGAGAAAACTATATAAAGACAAAGTGGGTTAGTACTGTCATCACTTCATATGAGGAAACTGAGGCTCAGTGAGAGGTTATCTACCCTAAAGTCACAGATTAGAACTTAATAGAGCCAGAATTCTTACAAGTATCTGATGTCCAAACTTACACTTTTTCTCCTACACTGTACTGTGCTCCATTTCATAACATCAAATGTATAAGGGGCCGATTCTCATAGTTGTAGGGGTTTTGCAGGTGGATTATGAGGAAGGGCTATGAGAGAATGGAGGCCTAAACCTGGTTCTCCATAGAGCCACTGAAGAAGTTAGTGGCGATGTGAGAGTGAGGAGATGCTTTGGAATCTGAACATTAAGTTATCAATTCAGGCTTTTGTCACATGATGACAAATAATGTCAGGCAAGTAATTTATCTTCACTTGATAGATGAAGAAACAATGAGATCTTTTATGGAAGTATCTATTGGAGGCCAGCAGGTGGGCATGGTGGTTAAGGGCACTGGACGCCCTCGTGGTCAACTGCGATTTGAGTTCCGGGCCTCGCGGCTTTCTCTCTCTCTCTCTCTCTCTCTCTCTCTCATACACACACACTATGTCCTACTCTGGTCAAATTAAAATAAATAAATAAAGATAAATAATTGTTAAAAAATTGTATCTATTGGGTTGGAAAAGTTATGAGGCATTTTTCATAGGAAAACACGAAAAAAAAAGTCATGATTTTTCTGATGATCCAGAATCAGATAATACGTGCAGAAACATCTAGGATAGGGGTTGGTTTAAGGTCCT